TTTTTCGACATCTGAAGTAAATGGTTGATAATCAGCATGGCAGAGACGATTGTACTGAGAGACAGTTCGGTTTTTGTGACAAAATTGCTCATCGTCACCGTATAGACACTCTTTTTTGCCATTGCATAACTGCACGACGTGAAAGCAGCTGAAAGTAGAATTATTTTTGCAATAGAACCCACCATCGAGAGAATACGTATGTGAATTCGATCGACATAGCATAGGTTCATCAGTACCGCCAAGGCAGTCGACCTTACCATCATTCACTTGTCTAACTGGCAAACAACTCAGTTCAGATGTATTGAGTGTTACACATATTCGAGAATCTGAAGAACAGTTGAATAATGGCGGTGATGAATCGCAGTCAATTTCATCTCTTCCATCGACACAATTCCATACTCCATCACAACGAGTATACACGTTGTCGCATTCCCAATGTTCACATTCGTCTTCATCGCTATGATTGCTCCCATTGATCATTATGGGATACAGCTCTTGGAAATCGTCACACATTGTCTGAAAAGATATCGATCTTCGAGTATAGTTTTCTTCTTTATCTTCATCTTCGCAAAAGTTGTTTTCGAGATATCCACAATCGCATCGTCCGTCGTTGACAGCTGCTCGAGGGATGTACTTGTTAGTGAAGTGACAGTTGTAAATTTTGTGGTGTAACTGTGCGAACAGTTGAGGGTTGCTATGTCGAGAGATGTTTTCATCGTCATGGTGAGGACAATCGTACACATTATCAAGTAGACGATGGCGTGAGATACACTTGGATGAATTCTGACATTGATAGATCGTCGATTCGTTGCATCGATACTGTGGAAAATTGATAATCGAATCAATGTCTTGTAATTGCTCATAGATATCATTCATAGGTATGTGATAGCGATATTGCCAATCATATTCCACTTCTGACAATGTGTCGTGGAATTGAGAAATTTTAAAGCAGGTTGTCGTATTCATCGGCCTGTCCAAAACTAAGTCAAGTGATCCGTAGTTGAAAGATTTGTTTGAACATAAATATGGTAAAATATAATTATCGAACGATAGTGCATCATCTTTCTTGTACGCTGTATAGATGTATCCGAAGAAGGTTGGAACACTAGGAGCATAAAACATATCCGGACAAGTCTCATGTATCGCTGCTATACATTCACTGCGATCATCATAGTCTTCATCGGGAAGATTTGAATGCGGAAAACCTAAATAACATTTGAAAGCTTGCCAACACACATAAGATATTGACTCGTCCTTAACTGAAAACATTGCTTCTAATAGTAGACGATGACGATGGATAGAACACGATTTCGTCAAAAACGTCGTATTACATCGCACATCATCGTATCCAAATGCAGGCTCGTTGAGGATGTCTACGGAAAATTCGTCAAGATCTTGCGTTTCTTCATCCGATCTATCGATACACTCAAAGGTAGTGTCATCGTCGCGAACAAATTCCTGTGGTATACACTGTCCAATCCTGCAACGGTATTCATTCGGCTCACATTCGCTGAATTCTAGTTGCCAACAATGTTCTTCATCGGATTCTCCATCCAAACAATCTACTTTACCATCGCATATCTCCGTCCAATCTAAACATGCAGGCGCATATCCACGAACACACTTCAAGTGTTCATAGCAAGTCATATTGATCACCATATCAGCATATTCNAGCACCTTGAATAGCTGTCATCGCTCTCTCCATCGACACACATGCATCCAACCATTGGTCCATGTTCACACATATACGAAGAACGAAATCTAATGAATGACACTGAGCTTCTAACAATACTCGGTTCTGCCATGTTGATATCTGAGTCGAAAGATACACAAAATACTTCATTCCAAACAATGTCATTGTCAACAGAGTTGTGATCGATGAGCCCAACAGATATATTCCACAGCCCACTTCAAGCACATTCTTGTTGTTAAACGTGATCAACGAAAGAACACCATTGATCAGTCCGACAATCATGAAGAGAATCGTCAATGCAAAACTCACCTTGACAATCGATGTTTGATGAAAGATGTCTACATCTGGAATGATGTGATAGGCGAGAATAGCATCCAGCGACAAGCCAAACCCACTCGTGCTGAACTGACACCGACTTCCATAGTGACACGAACGACAGACGCAAATCGACCGTGTCGGACAGTCGGCTGAATCTTGGAAACATTGACCATCGTTTTCACAGTGATTTCGACCGAAACAGTCAAACTTCATCTCATGATCGAACCTGAAACAGTTCGCCAGACGTTTGTTTCGGTGATGATAACACAGACAAAGATGAACATCGTCTCGGAAACACTGCAGATGTGGCGAATACGCTTGACAGATGACATGATAGGATTTCATTCGACGAACAAGATGCAGTCGGGCAACTGTGTCGTTAACTAACTCGGAGATGGATGGGCAGCGGTGAGAGCGACGAATATGTCGAGTTATTGTCAAGGAGTGGTTATAAACTGGCTGAAGAACAACTAGATAAAATGTCTTGTCGAGTGTTTCGATGAACGTCAAATGAAATGGATGTGACCAGTACACGCGAAGTGAATGAGTGGCTTGTGAAATCGTTTGTAAAATTGTTGATCTTTGTGGTGACGGTTTGAAAATGTCGTCAGCAGGATCATGTTGAACGATGCGAATGAAGTGAACGAAAACTGAATGAGACAGGCGAATATCGGACTCAAACATGAGATCGATTCGAGTGTCAATGAACTGACATCGACTTCCACTAAAGCCCTTCGGACAGATACAAAAATATTGCGGATTCATCGATGACAGCATGAAATCGTCATGTGAAACACATACGCCGTTGTTTTCACATGGAGAACTTGAACAGACCGGACTGCGAACATAACATCGAGAGCCAAAGTAGTTCTCTCGACAAACACAGATCGATCGGTTGTCACTCGAGAAGCCAACACAGACAGAGTGTACTGAACAATCGCAGCGATGTGCAATGTCACACTGTTCTCCTGACCATCCTGCATGACATCGACAAAAGGTCTGTTTTGTGGTGAGATAGGTGATGCATGTGCCATGAACACAGATGTTGTCGGACGGACAGGTTTGAGCCGGTGAATTATCAGATGGAATATTAACGATGAGTGCAAGTCGATGGACTGGTAGGAAAGAGAACTTCACTGGATGAACGAGACTTGATCGATGTACTAGTGAATGTTTGTCAAAGATGTCGATGTGGATGGAATAGGTTCGATTTGCATGTTTTGGTCGAGTAGCATAGAGTAAATAGAGGTTGATCTTGGTTTGACAGTCTCGAATGGATAGGTAGGTGAACTGTTCGAACGAATGGATGGTTCGTTGAGGCGAATCGTCGATGAGCATGACAAGAATGGCAAAGAGAGTTTGTCTTGCTTGTGCTGGAACGTGGAATCTAATAGCTAGTGAGATTCGTTGATTTTGGAACTGACACTGGTTTCCGTAGTAGGAGGGTGGACAGAGGCAGATGCTTGTATAAAGGTTGGCTGACTTATTGAGCCAAACACGTAAGTCAAGGCCACGATTACAGCGAGCTTGATCCAGAAGAG